GAAAACTCATAACTTTTAAATGTTTATATTAATACTAAAAGTAGAGAGAGCAATTAATTACAACCCTACCTGAAAAGTTTAAAAAGTGAAAGGAAAGTTCACTAATTAATTATAATACAGGAGTGGGCAAAATTAACAGTTGTTCATGTAGAAAATAATACAATAAATAAATAATAATTCAAGAATAAATTCTGTGTTTCTTATACTCACAACTATATATCTACATTTTAAAACCCCTGTATATAAATTAGAATATATAGGAAATGAATACAAGTTTGTGTGTATAAATAAAAATTTTAAATATATATATAAAAATAAGGCCTAGTGCACAAAATTCATGCACAGGGTGAGGGGTGTTGTCCTTCAGCCCACCCTGTACCCTCTCTAATCTGTGACCCCTCGAGGGATGTCCAGTGGGATCAGACCTAAACAGGCAGTCAGACATCCCTCTCACAATCCAGGACTGCTGGCTCCCAACCGTTAGCCTGCCTGCCTGATCACCCCCTAACCACTCAGCTGTTAGCCTGATCCATGCCTAACAGCTCCCCTGATGGCCCAATTGCCACTAACTGCCCTCCGCTGCCAGCCTGGTTGCCTCCAACTGCCCTCCTCTGCAGGCCTGGTTCCCCCCACAACTGTCCTCCCTTGCAGGCCTTGTTGCCCCCAACTTCCCTCCTCTGCCAGCCCAGTCACCCCTAACTGCCCTCCCCTGAAGGCCTGATTGCCCCCAACTGCTCCCTTGCAGGTCTGGTCCCTCAAACTGCCCTCCTCTGCTGGCCTGATTGCCTACAACTGCCCTTCCCTGCCGGCCATCTTGTGGCAGTTACCTTATGTACACATGGGGGCAGCCATCTTTGACCACATGGGGGCGGCCATCTTGTGTGTTGGAGTGATGATCAATTTGCATATTACCTTTTTATTATATAGGATATTTATATGCTGAAAACGTGTAATTGTTAAATATAAATATATAAAATAAATCTCAGGTAGATTTGTAGAATTTGGCCAATGAACACTGTATTAGTTTGCTGAAGCTACTATAAGAAAATACTGTAGACTGGATGGCTGAAACTTATTTCCCCATTGTTCTGGAGTCTGATAAATCCAAGATAAAGTTGCTGATAAATTTGGTTCCTGGCAAAATCTATCTTCCAGTCGTCTTCACATTGTCTTCCCTCACTGTGTGCAAGAGAGCTCACACTCGGATGGTTCTTTTTCTAAGGACTCTCTCCTATTGGATCAGGCTCCAACTTAGGATCTCATTTAACTTTTATTACTTCCTTAGAGGCCCCATCTCCATACATCTACACCGGGGGTTAGTGCTTGAACATATGAATTTTCTGGGAACACAAAATTCAATTCATAACAGACCCCATGTCACACCCATGGCATACAAAGATTGCTTTCAGAACTAAGAAATATTCCATGTCAGAATCTAGACTCTAATTGGCTTTTCAACCAGTACGGTTTACGCTGTCAGGTGTACAATAGCAAATTAATGGAAAGCATTTAAATGTGCACTAATACAGAAAAGGTTAAACAAATAAAAGGTGAATTTAAATATATCTATGTAGTGGAATACTATGTAACCAATAAAAGTGACATCGTAGAAGTTTTTTAAAAAAGGAACCCAACATATATTTTTCCAGAAGAGTAAATGTTCTTATTCCTACAATAGTCAGTGTTGAACTTTTTCTTTTTTTCATTATATTTTTAATTTTATTTAAATTACAGTTTATAAAAACCCCGAATAGATGCAGTGATCCTAAGAAAAAAGTAGGAGGGATCTCAATACCAAACTGCCTGGTAGTGGCAAAAAAGAGACATATAGACCAATAGAATAGAATAGAGAACCCAGAAATGGACCCAAACCACTATGCTCAATTAATATTTGACAAAGGAGACAAAAACATACAATGGAGTCAAGACAGTTTCTTCAATAAATGGTGCTAGGAAATTTGGTCAGACACATGCAAAAAAATGAAACTAGACCACCGACTTACACATACACAAAAATACACTCAAAATGGATACAGGACCTAAACACAAGATAGAAAACCATAAAAGTATTAGAGGAATCCACAAGTAGCAAAATCTAAGATATATGCTGAAGCAATATCTTCACCGACACTGCTCCTGGGACAATGGAAACTAAATAGAAAATAAACAAATGGGACTACATCAAAATAAAAAGCTTCTGCACAACAAAAGAAAACATCACCAAAATAACAAGACAATCCACTGCATGGGAGAACATATTTGCTAACAATATCTCTGATAAGGTTTAATCTCCAACATTAACAGGGAACTCATACAACCTAACAAAAGGGGAAAAAACAACCCAATTAAAAAATGGGCAACAGACCTAAATAGATACTTTTCAAAAGAAGATATAAGGAAGGCCAAGAGAATATGAAAACATACTCAAAGTCACTAATCATCTGAAAGATGCAAATCAAAACAACAATGAGGTACCATCTCAGCCTGTCAGAATGGCTATCATCAACAAATCAACAAATAACAAATTCTAGTGAGGATGAGGATAAAAGGAACCCTCGTGCACTACTGGTAGGAATGCAGACTAGTGCAGCCACTATGGAGAACAGTATGGAGTTTCCTCAAAAAACTAAAAATGAAACTCGCATTTGACCTAGTGATCCCACTTCTAGGAATATATCCAAGAAACTAGAAACACCAATCAGAAAGGACATATGAACTACTATGTTCATAGAAGCACAATTTACTATAGATAAGATTTGGAAACAGCCTAAATGCCCATATGCAGATGAGTGGATTAAAATACTTTGGTAAAGCCAAAACCGGTTTGGCTCAGTAGATAGAGCGCAGGCCTGCTGACTGAAAGATCCTGGGTTCGATTCCTGTCAAGGGCATGTACATTGGTTGCGGGCACATTCCCAGTAGGGGGTGTACAAGAGGCAGCTGATTGATGTCTCTCTCTCATTGATATTTCTAATTCTCTCTCTCTCTCTTCCTCTCTGTAAAAAAATCAATATATTAAAAAAAAATACTTTGGTACATATTCACAATGGAATACTATGCTTCTGTTAAAAGGAAGGAACTCCTGCCAAAACCAGTTTGGCTCAGTGGATAGAGTGTCAGCCTGCGGACTGAAGGGTCTGGGGTTCAATTCCAGTCAATGGCAAGTACCTTGGTTGCGGGCACATCCCCAGTAGGGGGTGTGCAAGAGGCAGCTGATTGATGATTCTCTCTCATCGATGTTTCTAACTCTCTATCCCTCTCTCTTCCTTTCTGTAAAAAAAAGCAATAAAATATACTTTTTTTTTTTTTTAATAAAAAAAGGGAAGGAACTCCTTCCATTTGCAACAGCATGGATGGAGCTGGAGAGCATTATGCTAAGGGAAATAAGTCAGGCAGAGAAAGGTAAATATCACATGATCTCACTCATTTGTGAATTATAATGCACAACATACATCAATGAACAAAAACAGATCTAGAGCCAGAGAAGCATTGATCATATGCGCAAACCTCAGAGGAAAGGTAGGGGAGAGTTGGGGTAAGGGGGAGAGATCAACCCAAAGACTTGTATGCATGCATATAAGCATAAGCAATGGATGCAGACAACAGTGTTGAGGGTGAGGGCAGGACTGGAGTGATGGGGGAATAATGGGCAATAAGGACACTTTTGTAATACCTTAATCAATAAAGAAAAAAATGGAAAAAATAAATTACAGTTTATATTCTACCTAATAAAAGAGTAATATGTAAATTAACCATCAATCCACTCCACCAGCCATGCCCACAAGCCAGACAAGTCAATCAGAGCGAGTATGCAAATAAAACCAACCAAGATGGCTATAGCCATAAAGAGCAGGAGAGAGGAGTTTCTCCGGCAATGGAGGAAGCCAAGATTTCTGCCTGCCCTTGCTGGCCTAAGCCTCTTCTCAAGGCTACAAAGTTTCAATTATAGAAGGTAAACAAATTCAAACAGAAATGGCTCTCACCATGGAGCGAGCAGGAGGCTTTGCTCCACTCAAGGCTACAAAGTTTCAATTGTATAAAGTAAATATATCCCAGATACCAGGGCCTTCACTTGGGTCACTGGGGGACATGGCTGGCCTGCAAACCAACATAGGCCCCTCGCTTAGGCCATCCCATGCCCCAAGGGGACCCCCACCTGGGACTCCCTTCAGGGTAAACCAGCTGGCCCCCACCCATGCACCAGGCCTCTATCTTATCTAATAAAAGAGTAATATGCAGATTGACCATCACTCCAACACACAAGATGGTTGCCCCATGTAGTCAAAGATCCTGCCCCCATGTGGACCCAAGATGGCCAGCAGGGAAGGGCAGTTGGGAGGGACCAGGCTGGCAGAGGAGGGAATTTGGGGGCAAATGGGCTGGCAGAGGAGCAGTTAGACATCAATCAGGCTGGCATGGGAGTGGTTAGGGGGTGATCAGGCTGACAGTTAGAAGCAGTTAGGGGCAATCAGGAAGGCAGGCAGGCGAGCAGTTGGGAGCCAGCAGCCCTGGATTGTGAGAGGGATGTCGCAGATTGGAGAGGGTGCAGGCTGGGCTAAGTGACACCCTCCATTACCGTCCCCTTGCACAAATTTCATGTACTGGGCCTCTAGTTAATAATATTTTGTATTAGTTTCAGGTGTACAGCATAGTGGTTATACAATTATATAACATTACTAAGTGTTCCCCCTGACCTCTACCCAACCAAAACCATGCATAGTTATTATAATATCATTAACTATATTTCTATGTTGTACTTTACATCCCCATGACTATTTTGTAACTACCAATCTGTTCTTCTCAATCCTTTCACAGAATTATTACTTTTGACAGGGAAAAAAAGTCATCAAATAAATGGCTAAGTGAAAAAGGGAATAGGTATAAAGTTTAAAACCTGTCTTTAAGAATTTAAAAAAAAATAATTTGAAACAACAAATAGTCTACATTTCTTTGCAAATTAGTTTTATGTGGGGAGGGGAAAAGTAAGTGAAAAACTATACCTCCTCTGAAATAGTAAACTGTTTGTTTTTTCCAGAAGAATCCACTGGTTCTTGGTTTTCCATGTTCAAACTGGTCAGTCTTTCCAGTTCTCAGATAAGAAGTTGACACTGCAAAGAATGAGATAAGTTTAGGCAACATTTATTTTTCTGAATTAAACATCTGTTCATAAGCCACTGATCAAAGTACTGTCTAGTAGCGGGCGAAACTCAAGGGCACCTTTCTCTCAGAGGTGCTTGCAGCGAGTACCAAAGCAGTGCGTACCAAAGGACACTGAGGAACACTGAGACTCAGGAACCTCATAAGGGTGGGGCTGACGGGAAGCAAGGCTGTAGGCTCCACCCTGAAACTCCGCCCCATCCAAGCTGAGCACAGAGGATTTTGAAATTTTCCAAGTGTAATCAAATAAGGCTGTCTCCCGGCATAGACACAGCTGATCTTCACAGCCAATTGGCCTGGAGGTCAGTTCCTCCCCGTGATACCAACAACAATCAAGACTTAATTACAATAAGGCTGTACACACAGTCCACAAAGGGGTGCACCAAGAGTGTACACCTCAGGTAACTGGGAGGCTTGACCCACTGAACCATATAGGACACAAAGCCACCCTACCAACTCAGGGAAGCAGCGAAAATGCCGAGACAAGGAAACAGATCACAAACAAAAGAAATGGAGGACAAGAAGCGACTGGATATAGAATTCAAAACCACACTTACAAGGTTTTTCAAGAATTTCCTAGAAAAGGCCGATAAAATAAACGAGACCTATGAGGATATGAAAAGGGATCAGCTAGAAATAAAGAATATATTGTCTGAAATAAAAAATGTTATACAGAGTCCTAAAAACAGAATGGAAGATTGCAAGAATCAAGTCAAAGATTTGGAACAGAAGACACTCCTCCACAGAAGCAAGAAGACAAGAGAATCCAGAAAGTTGAATGTAGGAAGCCTCAGGGACAACTTCAAGCGAACCAATATCAGAATTATGGGGGTCCCAGAAGAAGAGAGAAAGCAAGATACCAAAAACATACTGGAAGAAATAGTGACAGAAAACTTCCCCCACCTGGTGAAAGAATTAGATTTTCAAGTCCAGGAAGGGCATAGAACCCCAAACAAAAGGAATCCAAAGAGGACCACACCAAGACAAATCATAATTAAAATTCCAAAAGCAAAAGACAAAGAGAGAATATTAAAAGCAGCAAGAGAAAAGCAGGGAGTTACATATAAAGGAGCACCCATAAGATTGTCAGCTGATTTCTCAACAGAAACCATGCAGGCCAGATGGGAATGGCAAGAAATATTCAAGGTGATGAAGAGCAAGAATCTACAGCCAAAAATACTCTACCCAGCAAAACTATCACTCAGAATCGAAGGCCAGATAAAGAGCTTCACAAATAAAAAAAAAGCTAAAGGAGTTAATCACCACCAAACCAGAATTATATGAAGTGCTGAAGGGGGTTCTTTAGGAAGAGGAAGAAAATAAAGATAAAAATTATGAACAACAAATATGTAACTATCAACAAGTGAATCTAAAAACCAAGGGAATTAAAAAATCTGATAAACAATATTAACTGGTGAATATAATAGAATCAGAGGTATGGAAGGGGAGTGAACTGATGATTCTTGGGGAAGAGGGGAGTTGAGGGTGTAGGAAGAGACTGAACATAAAATGTGCACCTATGGATGAGGACAATGGGGGTGGGGTGGGAACCTGGTGGAGGGGAGCAATGGAGGGAAAAAAAAATGAGGAACATTTGTAATAATATGAATAATAAAGATTTTTTTTTTTTTAAATACATTATGGCACCAACCCTGTCACATATATCTATATTTGTATGGGGTGTATGTGATGAGATTGGTGTAATGTCATCATGCCGGGTACCCGTATGTGGGTATATCTGCATGTGGGCGGACCCACCTGGAAACGAATAGAGGAGCAGTGTCTTGATTCCTAAGACCATTGGAAATATAATTTTCAAATGGCCTTAGGCGATCCCTGTGAAAGGGTTGTTCGACCCCCAAAACAGTCTCAATCCACAACTGCCTCTGCCTTGACCCCATCCCCCTGGCTTCTTCAGGAAGGCTGTCTGTAATGACACCTGGAAGATCGTTCAGCTGTCTGGTTTAATTAGCATATTATACTTTTATTATTATAGAATGCACTGAAAATTATTTTCTAGCAGAAATAGGGAGGTGATGCCCAGTTTTTCTGTTTCTGCTATTGCTGTTAGAAAATTTGAAGCCATTCTGATTCTTGATCCTTTTCCTTTGAGACCTAATTTTTTTCTCTGCAAACTTAAATTTATTCATGTCTTCATGTTGATGTTACTGTGTAGGGCACTCAGTAGATCCTTTCAATCTGGAAACTTCAGACACACATTCTTCATGGGGAACTTTTCTTGAATTATTTCACCAATAACCCCCTACCCCATCTTCTCTGCTCTCTCAGGAACTGAAATTTAGCTAAACTTCCTGAATTGATCCTATCTTGTCTTTTTCATTCCTATTTTCTGTTTCCTTGTTATGTTACTTACATTTCTCAATGGCAATTCCAACCCTTCACTGCTTTTAAGTTCCATAGTTCCCTAATTCACCCCACCTCCCAACTTTAGCGCCAGAGAAAATACAGACATTAAGAATTATCACCTCTCTCACAGTCTTAAGAGGAAAAAACTGGCTTTGCTCTCCTGGGACTTAAAGTGATAATTAAACTACCCATCACATCTTCAATATTTACCTCAGACGGCAAGTTTCCCCCACCCTAAAACACAACCAGCAAAATAGATACAATCAACCTTCTCATACCCTGTTTTCTCCTCCAATCTTGTCAGATTTCTTGAAAGAACAGATAAAACTATCTTTAGTCTATCTTTACATAGTCTACTTCCCTAACTATATCTACCAATCATCTCCAAGCTAGAAATATAAGTATCTTCAATCCTTTATTTTTCTTTACCAACCATAACTTATACATTGCAAATCCTAAAAATTCTACCTCTAACATCCCCACCATCACTACTCCGTCTTAGGATGAAATAGTTTTCAAAACTATCTCCTAGACACTAGATTTTCCTTTACATGGTCCAACTTTCAGCACTGCTCACAGCTATGTTGCTATAAAAACTCCCTAAAATCACTGCTGAATAAAGGAAAGAATAAAATGAATATGGATGGATAAGTCTAGAGAGTCTTTCTGTTCCTAAGAACTAGGTTAGTGTGGGGCATGCTTAGATTTGTTCAATTGTTCCTCATCTACTTGTTTTTATTTGACTAAGTTAGTTAAACACAATTTCAAAATTATCTTGGCACAAATTTAAATGACTCACACTGCCTGATTTTAAAACTTACTGTAAAAGTAATCAAGATGGTCCGGGTACTGCCATAATGCTAGACATATATATTTATGGAATAGTACTGGGAGTCCAGGATTAATTCTATAGGTTTATGGTCTTTTGATTACCTACAAGAGGGCTATGACAATTCAGTGGGGATAAGAATAGTTCTGGGACTAGATATACACATAAGAATGAAAACAAACCTCTATCTATACCATATGTAAAAATTAACCCGAAATGGTCAAAGACCTAAATCTAAGAGCTAAAACTATACAACTCTTAAAATCCTATATAATAAAAAGGCAATATGCAAACTGACCAAATGGCAGAATGACTGGTCACTATGACATGCACTGACCACCAAGGGGCAGACTCTCAACACAGGAGGTCAGTGCACTCCAACAGGGGTATGCGGCACAGCCAGAAGCCCTGAGCTGGGTTCATGGCCAGAGAGCGCAGCAGCGATGGCCAGAGCTTCTCCCAACTCCATGGCAGCACTAAGGATGTCCGACTGAGGGCTTAAGTCTGCTCCCAGTGGGGAGTGGGTCTAAGCTGTCAGTCAGACATCCCCTGAGAGCTTTTGGACTGTGACAAGAGGCAGGACAGGCTGAGGGACCCCAATGGAGCATGAATACATGCACTGGGGCTCTCATATGCATATAAGATCTTTGGTTAATCTCTTCTCACCCTTTTCCCTCCCTTCTGAGATTCATCAGTCTGTTCCATGTTTCCCTGCCTGTGGTTTCTGCTCCTGCTTGAGCGCCTGCCCCCTGGTGGTCAGTGCATGCGATAGCTACTGGCCGGTTGGCTTAGGCTTTTATTTATAGATAGATATAGATATATATAGATAGATATAGATATGCTATATAGATAGCATCCCCTGGATTTTTTAAGGGATTGTGATAATCAAAAAGACGAAGAAGTGTTATTCTGAAGGATAGTTCTGCATCTGTTCATTTACACAAGTTAGTTAAACTCAAATTACAAAAGCCTTTAATCAAAAGAATAGCCCTAGCTGGTTTGGCTCAGTGGATAGAGTGTCAGCCTGCAGACGCAAGGGTCCAGAGTTTGATTCCAGTCAAGGGCACATACCTTGGTTATATGCTCTCCCTGGCCTAGGCCCTTGGTCAGGGAACGTGCAGGAGGCCACCAATCAATGTGTTTCTCACGTGGATATTTGTCTTTCCCTCTCTGTTCCACTCTCTAAAAAATCATGGGAAAATATCCTCTAGTGAGGATTAAAAAAAAAAAGAGTAATTCTGGGTTGGCAAATGTAACTACAAACAGTTGTTTCAGACCGATTATATTAAAAATATTTAAGCTAGAAGGTAGAGACCTAAAAGACAATCCTCCCCTCCCTCCCCCCCAAAAAAACCCCCACCAAAAATAAACAAACAAAAAAACCAAGCAACAGACATAAATTACCCAATTGTGGGCACACCTAGAAAATCAAAAGAGAAAAATGTGGCAAGCAGGGCTGGGCCTCTCTAGGGTAATTACTTTAATATAATCAGCCCCAAGGGGAAACAGTATTCTGTTGCAATCTATTAAATAATTAGATATTGTTGTTTTACAGGTATGAATAATTAAAAATGTGAAAGCATGATTTCAAAAGTATATTCTGCCTTGCCGGTGTGGCTCAGTGGTTGAGTGTTGTCGTATGAACCAGGAGGTTGTGGTTGACTCCTGGTTGGGGGCACATGCATGGTTTGTGGGCTGGATTCCCAGTAG